GAATGCTTTTGCATAGTCAATAGAACACAAGTAAACATCTTTCTGGTATTCTTTGCTTTCAGCTAAGATCCATCTGACATCATCAATGATATCCCTTGTTCCATGTCCTCTTCTGAATCCAGCTATCATTCATGAAAGCTCCCTGTCAATATACTACTGCAACTGTTTTTGAATTATCTTCAGTAAGATTTTTACTTGCACATATTAATAATATTGTTTGATAATTTCCACATTCTGTGGGATCACCTTGCTTTGGAATGGATACAAATATGGCTCTCTTCCAGTCAGTTGGCCAGGTAGCTGTCTTCCAAATCTCTTGGCATAGCCAAGTGAGTGCCTCCAGTGGGGCATCCATTTGCTGAAACATCTCAATGGGTATTCCATCAATTCCTGGAGTCTTGCTCTTTACCAATTCTGTCAGTGCAGCCTCAACTTCTTCCTTTAATATTATTGGTTCTTGATCATATGCCACCTCCTGAAACGGATGAACGTCGACCAGTTCTTTTTGGTACGTTGACTCTGTGTATTCCTTTCATCTTCTTTTGATGTTTCCTGCATCATTCAATATTTTTTACCATAGACTCTTTCAATATTGCAACTCGAGGCCTAAATTTTTTCTTCAGTTCTTTCAGCTTGAGAAATGTTGAGTGTGTTCTTCCTTTTTAGTTTTCTAACTCCAGATCTTTGCACATTTCATTATAATAATTGGCTTTGTCTGCTCGAGCTGCTCTTTGAAATCTTCTGTTCAGTTCTTTTATCTTGTCATTTCTTCCATTTGCTTAGCTACTCTCTGCTCAAGGGCAAGTCCCAGAGTCTCTTCTGATATCCAATTTGGTCTTTTCTTCCTTTCTTGTCTTTTTAATGGCATCTTGCTTTCTTCATGGATGATGTTCTTGATGTCATCCCACAGTTCCTCTGGTTTTCAGTCATTGGTGTTTAACACATCAAATCTATTCTTTAGATGGTCTCTAAATTCAGAAGGGATATGATCAAGGTCATATTTTGACTCTTGTGGGCTTCTTTTAATTATCTTTAACTTACACTTGAACATGCATATGAGCAGTTGATGGTCAGTTCCACAATCAGGTTTTGGCCGAAGATATTGAACTTCTCCATTGTTTCTTGCCACAGATGTAGTCAATCTGATTTCTGTGTATTCTATCTAGTGAAATCCATGTGTATAGCCATCATTTGTGTTGTTGAAAAAAGCTATTTGCAATGAATAAGTTCTTGGTCTTGCCAAATTCTATCATGTGATCTCTAGCATCATTTCTGTCACGAAGGCCATATTTTCCAACTACCAGTGACTCTTCTTTGTTTCCAACTTTTGCATTCCAGTCACTAGTGATAATCAACACATCTTGATTGTATATTTGGTCAATTTCAGACTGCAGAAGTTGGTAGAAATCTTTAATTTCTTCACCTTTGGCTTTGGTGGTTGGTGCATAAATTTGAATAATAGTAGTATTAACTGGTCTTTCTAGTAGACATGTGGATATCATCCAATCACTGAGAGTATTGTCCTTCAGAACAGATTTGGAACAGTCTTTGTAACAATAAATGCCACACCATTCCTCTTCAATTTGTCATTCCTGGCATAGTAGTTCATATAGTTGTCTGATTCAAAATTGCCAAAACCAGTGCATTTCAGCTCTCTAATGCCTAGGATATTGATCTTTATGTGTTCCATTTCATTTTTGACAACTTCCAGTTTTCCTAGATTCATACTTTGTACATTCCATATTCTGATTATTAATGGATGTTTGCAGCTGTTTCTACTTATTTTGAGTCATGCCACATCAACCAACGGAGGTCCCAAAAACTTTATTCCATCCATATCATTAAGGTCGTCTCTATTCTGAGGTGTTAGCTCTTCCCCAGTCATATTTTGATTGTCTTTCAACTTGTTGGGCTCATCTTCTAGCACTATATCAGACAATATTTCAGGGCTATTCATAAAGTTTTCCAGTAATATATCAGACAGG